ATATACATTTATATTTTAAATAATTATATATTTATATGTATATGTATAATAATAACTATATTTTTATATAATTAAATATTTATTATTTATATATTGCACAATATATTATATGATTTAATCATCATTAATAATTTATTAATTAATTATTACTTATTAATTATCTATTAATTATCATTTATTAATTATTAATACCACTAAATAAATAAAAAATGGATTGATAAAAAATATACATAATAATAGTATATCGGTATATGATTACTATTCATGCCACAGCAATGTATACAAATGCAAGTATACTAAGTTAGTCATAAATATATTAAATAATATCTTGAAGTTTTTTTTAAAATTAAATAATATATAAGAATATATTGAATAGAATATCTCAACCTATAAATACTCATAATAATTATTGAACTGCTGCATTATTGTAATATCATCCTTAATTGAAACGATATTTGAAATTTTGCGGCATTATAATTATATATTGTATTGTGGTAATAACTCAATTATATACTAATCAAGTTAAATTGAAATAACTAAAATATAAGAAAAGTGCAAAATCGACTGGTACAAAGGTGTAGAGCACACAAAAATTAAAAAAAGCATTATTTATTTAATAATTATCAAACTTCATGATTAGTTAAATTCCAAAATTATATTAATTTCATGCTGTCTGCATTTCGTTATCTTATGTATAGTCTTTGCGAGCAAAATTTCAAATATCGTTTTAATTAAGGATGATATTACAATAGTGCAGCAGTTCAATTATTATTATGAGTATTTATAGGTTGAGATATTCTATTCAATATATTCTTATATATTATTTAATTTAAAAAAAAACTTCAAGATATTATTTAATATATTTATGACTAACTTAGTATACTTGCATTTGTATACATGCTGTGCATGAATAGTAATCATATACCGATATACTATTATTAAGTATATTTTTTTCAATCCATTTTTAATTTATTTAGTGGTATTAATAATTAATAAATGATAATTATAGCTAATTAATAGTAATAATTAATTATAAATTATTAATGATGATTAAACCATATAATATATTGTGCAATATTAAATAATAATATTTAATTATATAAAAATATAGTTTATTATACATATACATAACATATATATTATTTAAAATATAAATGTATATATCTGGTGTTTTATTAAAATGTTTTAATTTATCAAGACGCGCGGCGGGCAATGGTTGCTAGTCGTTGCGAATGAGAGACGACTTACACGGGTTCTATATGAGCGCGAGCGTGTACTTGCTCAGGTTTTCCTACTTTGAATGTGTTCTACCACATGAAATAAAACAAATTTTGCACACTAAAAGAATTCAAACGCCTTTCTAATCATGCTAATTAAAAATTAGTCCAAACAACTGCACTACCCGAAAATTCAAAACAAAAAATTATTTTCACTTTTTCTCGCACTACCAATATTTTTTTTCACATTATTTGGTATGAACAACATAGACAAGATCAGTATAAATAGAATGACGTTAACAGTTTTTTTGATATCCCTCATATTTTCCGACAAAAAGTGAGTTTGAAAAAGGGGCCACTTTCACATGTTTTCACTGATATCTCGGCCAAATGATGAGCTACGGATTTGAAATTTGGTATATCGGATTTTTTCGAAAATACCTATAAAATGGCATCAAAATTATTTAAATACCAGGGTGGGGCCAATTCTGTATGGAAACACGCCCATACCCTTTAAACAATATTTGTTATTTGTTTATTGCTTATTAATTTATATACATTTATGTCATGGGATATTAAAGAAGAAATACTAATTTCATTGAGGAAGAAATTCGTCGACTACTAAATTATTTCAAACAAAATTCTTTGAACAATATTTGACGTTTCTGAAAATTCTTTAATGTTTCAATAAATTAATGTTTACATAGCTGATAAAAATTTTTATTAGTTGATTATATATTCAACGAAAATATTTATAACTATAATTAATATATATTGTTATAATAAAGATTGAGAAATATATATCGTTTTTGTATTATTTATCACCTAGAGACGCATTGTTATAGCTTTATATTGTCTTCATATTTAGTGTTTAACATTTAGCATAAATGCACAGTTTAATAAATTATAGAATCTATTATATTAAGTTGGTGACATACATTTTACATAAATGTAGTGTTATAAATTCCAAGCAACGAATTTTTTATTAATTATTTGTTTTATAATTTTTAACATTTTATTTAATTTAAGGGGGTATTCTACTGTAGAAGCATGAATTTTGCCCGGTTTTTGAAGCGCTGTATAAAGGAAACAAATGATATTTTTACTATCGATTTTTTTATCATTTGTTTATTGATATTTTATTATTACATAAAAAAAATTATTAAAGAAAAAAAATTAGAATTCACAAAGGTATGAGCAGTCAAAGTGGGAGCTCAAAAAAAAAGAGGGTCTCCTGGCGTGCATGATTCCAACCCCCCTGGTGATTCGAAACATAAAAAAAAGACGGATTCTTAATTATTATAGATGTCGCTATCGTATGAACCTTGGATAAGCCAAAAAAAAATTTTTTGTTTGAATGGCGGCAGTTTGAAAAAAAAATTTTTTTTTCATGTTTTTTTTAACAATTCCGAATTTTTTAAAAATACTAAATGAAAAGTTATAGTTTTGGTAGAGGTCCATGCGATAAAGCAATGTATAGAGAACATCCTCTCCAAATTTGAATTAAATCGGTTCATTAGAACTCGAGATAACCTTACCGCCAGCTCGAAAAAAGTAGTTCCGAGAAAAACGCGTTCAAAGTTTTGAGACTCGGTCGGACCCGAACCGAGGCCACGTCACTAAAACGGCTATAACTTAGGAAATAATAGTAATTTTGAAAAATCCTTTTAATGACATATTTTTGAATAACTAAACTTTGAAAATATGAAAAAAAATTTTTTTCGATTTTTTCAAAATTCTACAGTAGAATACCCCCTTAATGGAATTTTTTAATATATTTTAAGAATTAGAACAAGAAACAAGCTGAAAAAAATTAAAGTTTTGAGGAAAATTATGATTAAATTACACATTATAATTATAATACTTTAATATCATTTAATTTTAATTATTACTTTCTTATGTGCATCATATTTTCTCATATTAAATTTTTCCTATGTGTTTGCGTTATTTTTTAAGTTTTCTGTTTATACATATTTTTAAGCTTATGTTAATAATAAGTTAAATTTGAATGCAACGGTCATCAGTGCGAACATTGATGTATGAAGTTAGCTATGATATAAGTAATATTGGTTGATTAGTTAACATAAGGATTAATGCTTTGTTTGATTACTCTTCTTTTACCTATGGTTTGAAGCTTAATGCCGAATCAAAGTTATTGTGAAAGATAGTGAGAATACAGAGTTATTGAAGAAGTGTAGTGTTTTAGTGTGATTTAGGAGAATCACAAACTCGAATACAGAGTTATTAAAGATAGTATTTTAGTGTGATTCAGGAGAATCACAAACTCGAATACAAAGTTATTGAAGAGGTATAGTGTTTTAGTGTGATTTAGGAGAATCACAAACCCTATATACAGTAGTATCTATACTATATAAATCTGATACCAGCTGTTTACGATGCTGAGAAGAAATAGACCTGACATTGGTCGTCGAAGTCGATTAACACGCCTAAAACGTAATTTGCGTAATAACCGCACTGATGGGCAAGTTGGTGCAAATCGATCGCAACAGCAGCGAGCACGCGAAAATGAAACATCTCGAATTCGCAGAAGCAATGCTTCAGTCAACGTGTAGCGAGCAGCATTCTCTTATGATCCGGAAATAGATTACAGTGCCCACAAATTTGTAAAATTGGAGACATGTCGATCATTTGTCAGCACTTGAAAGCCTTAAAATACAATGGTGAATCTGCAGGACTATGTTGTGCTGGCGGTAAGGTGAAGTTGCCACAATTGGTACCACCACCTGATCCATTACACTCACAAATTTTTGGAATGACCAATGACTTTAAACACTTCTTATCCAACATCCAGAAATATAATAATTGCTTCCAAATGACATCTTTTGGAGCAACGCATATAGTACAGAACAATTTCATGCCGAAGTTCAAGGTAATATATCATAATGTTTCTAATGTTAATTTGTATTTGTATCAAAAATAAATTGAAAATGTCATAAAAAATTACAAGGTGCAAGGACAAAATCATCACCTATTGGGGGCACTGCTGCCATTACCAGATGCAGATCATCAATTTCTACAAATTTATTTCCTAGGCAATCAGGGCGCTGAAGTTGATACGCGTTGTACTCCTAATGCATCAGTAAAGCCATCCGTTGTCCAACAACTGCAAACGTTTCTTCATCGCAACAATCGTTTAGTGAATTTATTCAAAGTGGCACTTAATCGAATGCCATCAGACAGCCATAATATTGTAATAAGAGCTGACAAAACACCTGCTGGTGAGCATGCAGAAAGATTTAATTCACCAACATTTGATGAGGTGGCTATAGTCGTTGTTGGAGAAAATATGCAATCAAGAGATATTGTGCTTCATCGCCGAAACAATGAATTAAGGCGAGTGTCCGAAACTCATAGGTCTTATGAATGATGCTTTACAATATCCGTTAATTTTCTGGCAGGGAGAAGATGGCTACCACTTTAGTGTCAAAATGGTTAATCCAATAACATGCAATTATAAACATAATTAAATAATATATTTTAACTCAATATGTATATTATTATTTGTGATTTTAGATGCTGAAACCAATAAAAAAGTTAGCGCTATGAATTTTTATTCATACAGGCTGATGATCCGTGATGGTGAAATAAACCACATTTTGATGTGTCAACGACTTTTTCAACAGTTCGCTGTTGACATGTATGTCAAAATTGAGGCTGAGCGATTAACATACATCCGCTTAAACCAACAGCACCTTTGATCTGAAGAAATACATCCATCTTGATGCTATTATTGCCGATGGTAATGCAAACAATGTGGGTAAAATGACAATTTTGCCGTCTACCTACATTGGAAGCCCGCGCCACATGCACGAATACGCACAAGATGCAATGACATACGTTAGAAAATATGGTCGCCCTGATCTATTCATTACATTTACATGTAACCCGCAATCGATAGAAATTAAGAAAGAATTGATACACGACCAAACACCAGGATATAGACATGATATTACCAGAGTTTTTAAACAAAAATTGAAATCTTTGTTGAATTTCATAATAAAGCATCATGTATGTGCCCAAGTACGTTGCTGGATGTACTCTGTTGAGTGGCAAAAGCGTGGTCTTCCACATGCGCACATCTTAGTCTGGTTAATTGACAAAATGAGGCCAGAAGATATTGATTCAGTCATATCAGCAGAGATTCCTAATAAAAATGTCGATCAAAATTTGCTTGCAATAATTACTAAACATATGATACATGGACCTTGCGGAGTTTTCAACAATAACTCGACCTGTATGACTGACGGCAAGTGCTCTAAACGATACCCAAGAAATCTAACTGCTGAAACCATTAATGGAAATGACGGTTATCCGCTGTATCGTAGGCAATCAGTTGCGGATGGTGGGCAATATGTAGTTGTGAAGGTAAAAGGACGAAATTTATATGTTGACAACCGATAGATTGTGCCGTACTCCCCGATATTATCCAAAACTTTTCAAGTACACATAGAATTTTGTAACTCTGTCAAGTCAATAAAATATATATGCAAATATATTAACAAAGGTAGTGACATGGCCATGTACGCTGTTGCTAAAACAAATGATGAAGTTTCTGAGTATCAGATGGATCGCTATGTAAGTAGCAATGAAGCAATTTGGAGAATTTTTTCTTTCCCAATACATGAAAGACACTCTTCTGTAGTCCATTTGGCAGTCCATTTAGAAAATGGACAAAGTGTAACCCCGTTAATACTGTTGATAGAGCGGCGCATCCACCTCCAACAACATTAACAAGTTTCTTTTCAATTTGTCAAAGAGATGATTTTGCCCGTACTTTGATGTATGCTGATATGCCGCGCTATTACACATGGAACGCATCATCAAAGTCGTTTCAACATCGTAAAAAAGGAACACCGGTTGAGGGATATCCAAATATATTTGCTACAGATGCTATAGGGCGCATTTATACAGTACATCCAAATAATGATGAATGTTACTACCTTAGGTTATTCCTGGTTAATGTTCCTGGACCGACATCATTTCAACAATTGAAAACAGTTGATGGACATATTTGTGCGACTTACCGTGAAGCATGTCACATGCTGCAGTTGCTCGAAGACGATTCGCATTGGGATAATACGCTCAAGGATGCCATAATATCATCATTTCCGCATCAAGTGCGTGCATTGTTTGCGATTATAATTTCAACATGTTTTTCCTCAAATCCGAAAAATTTGAAGATGACATGTCTGAGGATATTTTACATAGTTTACATAAATTACTGCAGAAATTTATAATAAAACTTTGATCATGATAGAGGATATGTGTTTATTGATGGCGAATAAAATATTATCATGTTTGGGCCTGACAGAACTAAACCGTTGTGTACAAGATTTACCATGAGTTAAGAAGGGAGCAACAGTATGATATTAAAACATAGACCGAAATAGTTCGCACAACTGTTTCAAAGTTGAATGATCATCAAAGGATTGTATATGATGATTTGATACAAGCTGTGAACTGTGGATCTGGAGAGATTTTTTTTCTTGATGCTCCTGGTGGTACTGGAAAAACATTCCTGTTATCATTGCTATTGGCAAAGATCAGATCGCAAAATGACGTAGCTCCAGCATTGACATGATCAGGAATAGCAGCAACATTGTTAGAAGGTGGACGAACTGCACATTCAGCATTGAAGTTACCTCTTAATATGCAAATCAATGAAACACCAGTTTGCAACATCAGAAAAACTAGCGCCACGGTCAAGATACTTCAGACATGCAAATTGATTATCTGGGACGAATGTACAATGGCCCACAAGAGGTCACTGGAAGCACTGGACAAAACATTGAAATATTTACATGACAATCAAAATATTTTTGGTCGAGCAATGATTTTGTTGTCAGGTGATTTTCGCCAAACTCTTCCAGTGATACCGCGATCAACTGTTGCTGACGAACTAAACGCAAGCCTAAAATCATTAAATTTGTGGCGTTAATAACAAAGAAACTCCAGTTAACAACGAACATGCGAGTGGTTTTGCAACAAGATGAAACAGCAAAAGTGTTTTCAAAGCAGTTACTAAATATTGGAAATGGTAATGTCGCAGTTGATGCCTCGAACGGGTTAATAACATTTCCCGCAGATTTTTGCAGTTTTACAAACACAAAGGAGGGGCTTAGTCAATGCGTATTCTCAGATATAAACCAACAATTTTACGATCTCAATTGGCTGAGCGAACGAACAATATTGGCGGCGAAAAACAAAGATGTCGATGATCTCAATGCAACAATACAAAGTTTACTTCCAGGGGAATGCTTTACTTATAAATCTGTAGACACAGCTACAAATCAGGATGACATACTCAACTATCCTACAGAATTTTTAAATTCATTAGAATTGCCTGGGCTGCCACCACATAATTTAAAATTGAAAGTAGGATCACTTGTCATCATGCTACGTAATTTAAATCAGCCCATACTATGCAATGGAACAAGATTGGTTGTGAAAAAGCTAATAAATAATGTAATTGTGGCAAAAATCATTAAAGGAAAATACAAGGGACAAAATGTATTGATCCCGCGAATTCCTATGATCCCAACGGATTTACCATTTGATTTCAGGCGTTTACAATTTCCAATACGCCTCGCTTTTGCAATGAGCATCAATAAATCGCAAGGACAGTCGCTGCAGGTTTGCGGTATCAACTTAGAGTTTCCATGTTTCGCACACGGCCAATCATACGTTGCGTGTTTGCGCGTCGGTAAACCATCATCCTTATTCATTTACGCACCGCAAAAAAGACCAAAAATATTTTCTATAAAAAAGCTTTATATTGATTCCAAAACATTCGATTCATAAGCAAATGTATAAAATATTTTATATATGAAATATAAAAAAATAGGTATTTTAAGAATTAAAATATAGTATATATGGAAGCTTTGCATTAATTCTATTCATAACCAAATGTGTTAATTATTTCATGTGCAAGATTTAATTAAATTTTATTAATGATTATTTATGTGAAACGAAGTTCACCGGGTCAGCTAGTCATTAATAAATACTCACAATACCATCAATTTAACTATAAGTATATATTTACCAAACTCTGTTTCGTTGCCTCAGTTCCGAGGAATTCTTCCAAATCACTCAATATGTCATCATTTGCCACAGGACTTGCAATCTAAAAAAACGTCACAATTATCTGCACTATCCTCGTTTCTTCGTTTTGGTTTGTTGACCACTAAATTAAGCAATTCAGTACTCCGCTGCAATTGCATTTGGATCTTCGAAATACTCTTTGTGGTTTCCTCTTTATTTTTGTAATACTTCTTCTCACATCCTCCTTATGACCTTCGTAATTTATATTTACATTTCATTAGTAGCAAAGCAACTTACCTATTAGCTGCTGCAATTGCATGTTCATCTTCTCTGTGCTCCTTGTTCTGTCCTCTTTTCTCTTCATCTGTTTTTGAGAATCTGCATTTGTTAAACTTTTTTATTATTTTCGTAACATATATTTACATTACATTATATTATTATCAACTTACAAATTATCTGCTGATCTTGAATATCCGACCTTTGTTCTCCTTCACACTGCTCCCAGCTGCTTCATAATTCCCACAAGTAGGTGATTCTTAAATTTATTATTATGTATTACTTATGTTCATTCTTAAATTTATTATGTGTTTTCATTCAATACTTACAAGAATTAATCATCAATCTTTTGGCAGTGGGTCTAAGTGTGTTCTGTAGTAATAGTGAATCTTGAAAACCTAAAATATATTTTTAGATAAATTAGTATAAATTAACACTGGATTTACTTAATATTTTATTTACTTCTGTGTCGTCGATAAATCTCTGGTGTATTAGTAACACATAGTACCTCAAGTGGTGTTTCAATTCTTGTTCGATCACGTCTCTAAATAATCTTCAATTCTATATCCGATGTGATGTCAGAGTGGTTATGGGCCTTCTTTACTTTCTTCATTGCCAACTGAAATACATCTGCTTACACATATATTACATTATATTTTCTTGATACATTTATTATTAATTACTCCACTTTGCTCACCGGTCAATGCGAAAATACGCACAACTGAACTCCCGAAATTCCTTGAACTAAATTTACAAACTCTTGAACTAAATATGCATACACTTGAAATAATCCTGAAAAAATCTGTTAAGTCGATTTACATATTTCAATGATCTTTTAGCTTGGTGTTCTAACCAACTCTTTAGTGATGATGAATATCACTTCGTGGTCTCAGTGTTGACACCAAGTGTTATTTGTTCTTGGAACAAGAACGGTGCAATTAATATTTGCAGAGATTTCAGACATAGTTAATGTAATATTAAATGAACAACTTTAATTGACAATATTTTCTTACAAAGAAAATTCTCAACATTATGAATACATATGATTTAAATTGTATACTATATTATAATCAAACAATCATAATTTCAAAACTTGTTCAAAATTTGTTGCAAAACTCGTTCAGACATTTTACTAATACCAGTGTTTCTGTTAGGTATTTTTTACCCTACAGTGTTAGTAATGTCTTCAAACGGATTTTAAGTTGAACATAATTGTGTCACACATTTTACACATTTCGGAAGTCAATGATGGTAGATTTGCATCTAAGACGCTCATTGCCATCCTTATTGATTCTTCAACCTCGACAAACCGCTTCACCATGGAGTTCCATTGTGTTTTCAATATCTTGAATCAATTTCTGCAATTTTTTCACATCCAGTAACATTCCTTCGGAAGTGGCTAACACTTTTCTTCACTAGTAGGTCGATCTCACTTCTTTATCAATCATTCACTATTAAATTGAGAAAATGAAAATAACAAATGGTACATATAATTATAAGATAAATAAAAACAACCTGTAAGTAAGCCACAATTTTTTAATCTAAATATTATAAAGTCCTTCCTTCTCGGTACAATCGCTCAAGAAAAGAAGTTCGTCGAGCCTTTTTGGCGATATGGATCTTCCCATTGTTTCAGAGGATCCAAAGAAAGTGGGGAAACCTGTGTAGATAAATAATGGCTTATTTCATCCTTATTTTCAAACTGTGATGAGAACTGGTTTACATCGCTTTTCGTGTGAGCTAATTTCTTTGGTGGCTCCAAAAATCGTAAGTTGTTTTCAAGAGGAATCGCTGTCATCACGGTATGAGAACAACATTCTCAAAAAGTCTTCGTTTCACAATGATGCATG